TATTGCAGATAAGTAAGAAAAATAAGAGTTATGTTGTGTGTGTGTGCACTCAAAGATGGACAGAGAAAGTCTGAAAGGATCCATTCTAATCTTTGTGTCTACTTCTGATGAAGGAATTCTTTATTCTGTATGTTTTGGATTTTTTTTTTTTTTTTTAATATGAGAAGTAACTGCAGGATAGATTGTGACTGAGGGTGAAAGGTGGGGCTTATGATCTAAGAGCCGGAAGGAGGAAGAGGGTGGATGGAATGGGTGAGGAAGACCTCAGAGGATGTGAGATTCAAATCAAGGTGCAGAAATTGGGTAGGGTTTGGATAAGTGCAGAAGGGAAGACCATGGGCATAGACCAGGGATGAGGAAAGCCTGATGAAAGAAGAGTGAGAAGAAAAGCCTAAGTGGAGCTGGCAGATTTTGCATGTGGAATAGAGGAAAACAAGAGTGGGGCCCCACAAGTGGGGCTAGAGATGTGACTAGTCTTGAGCCAGGATTGGGAATGTGGGGATGCATCCAGTAAGTAGTGGGGGGCCTTAGATGGTGACATCAGAGGGGAGAGCGTGGGGATACGTTATGATAAAGACACATTTGTATTGCATGCTGCTTGGTCTTCACCTACATGCCTATCCTTGGTAAAGAGCATTTTGCCCTGAGAGTCATCGTAGATTTGGGAGTATTGAGCTTGCTGGGGCTCTAGGAGAAACCAGCTTTAAAATGCAGATGTGTTTTTTTTAAGTGCGAGAGATTATTATGCTAATTATATACCTGGCATGTACAGATGGTCCCCAACGATGAAGAATGATTTTTCAACTTAACGATGATGGGAAAGTGATTCACGTTCACTACTATGAATTTTGAGTTTTGATCTTTTCTTGAGAAAAAATTATGAGAAACAACTGATATATACATACAACCATTCTGTTTCTCACTTTCAGTACAATATTCAATAAAGTACATGAGATTTTCAACACTTAATTACGAAATAGGATTTGTGTTAGACGATTTTGCCCGATGTAGGCTAACATAAATGTTCTGAGCACATTTAAGGTAGGTGAGGCTAAGCTATGATGTTTGGTAGATTAGGTGTATTCGGTACACTTTCAACGTGTGGTATTTTCAACTTTTGGTGGGTTCATGAGGACATAACCCCATTTTAAGTCGAGGAAGACCTGTACAATGGGGTGGTGAACCTAAAAGAGATTAAAAACTGTTTGTGACCAGGAGGGCAGGGTTATAAAACAATTGGGAAGCCTTTTAGAGGCACTGGGTTGAAAGAGGAGCTACGATGTGCTGTGTGAGGCCGTGGGATTTTAGGCCACCCCACAGAAGCAAAATCAAGAAAGGAAAGCAAAAGGGAGCCTAGACTATACAGAGAATAGAGAGGATTGATCAGAGTGAAACTGAGTAAAAATTTGAAACACCATATAGCAGAAATGATTTTCTATGAGCAGAGCTCAAAGCTTCAGCTGCATTTTCTGTGAATAGCAAATCTTTGACTTAAAACCAAAGTGGATGGGCAGCAAATAAGAAAAAGACATTTTTCAAGGCCTAGAAAGTTGACAGAGCAAGAGGGCAGAAGTAGGTGTTTAATCCTTTGAAGGCATGCTCGGTTAATTGAGAGCACATATTCTTCATTGACCTATTTGATATTTGCACCCCAGAACTTCCATACCCTAGAACAAACTCTGCAGACCATGCTTTAAGCCCCCTCATCGCTCCCTAGATTATTAGATAGCTTCTCTCCCTGCTTCCACTTTTCCCAAAGTCTGTTGTCACAGCAGCCAGTGAAACTTTTATAGTAAATGTAAGTAAAATTTGGTCATCCCTGTGCTGAAAACCTCTGATGGCTTTCCACATGTCTTAGACTAGAGCAGAGTCCTTACGGTAGCATCTCAGTCTGTTCCCAAAGCCTGCTTTTATCTCTCATGACTGTACCTTTTGTTTCTCTGTGTAGCCACGTTGGTGGTCTAACTGGCCGTTCCTGGAAGAATCCAGGCATGCTCCTACCTCCAAGGACTCAACCTTCCCTTTGCACGGAACAGGTCTTCTCCAGATAGTCACGTGACTGCTGCTCACGTCCCTTGGGTTTCTGCTCAAACTTTACCTTCAAGGTAAAGTTTCCTGACTCCTCCATACAGAGACCTTTCTTCCCCCTGCTCCCCATCTCCTTTACCTTTATTTTTCTCTATAGCATTTATCACTGTTTGACATCTATTTCATTACTGTCTGTGCCCGTCGGCTCCTTCCTTCATCCTGTTCCCTTCTTCCTGCCCACATACAGGAGAGATAGTGGGGTAGTGGTTGAGACTATGAATTCTGAAGTAGATTTGCTGGGTTGGAAATGCAGCTTCACCACTAACTGCATATGAGACCTTGGGCAAGCGACTCAAACTGTTTGCAGGTCTCGGTTTTCTCATCTGTCAATATGTGGGTAATAACAAAACCTTACGGTTGTTTCAAGGAGTCAGTGAGTTAATATATGTAAAACATCTAGTACAATGCCTGGTACCTTAAAAGCAATATAAATGTCAGCTGTTACTAATATTGTAATTAGAGTGTAAATTCCATCAAAGTAGGGACTTTGTTTTGTTGGCCATTTCTAGTGCCTAGAACAATACCTGGAATATAATGGGCTCTGAATAAATATTTGTTAAATGAATGAGTGGTGTGAGAAGTTTTGAAAGAAAAAGATAATGTGGAACTCAAAGTGATAGTGAGTCAGCACCAAGAAAAGTTGGGGGAAAAAATAAGAGCTCAGGAATCCTGTCTTTGGAAGGAAAAACCCTCTTGACTCTTCCTGGGGTGGTGACTGTAGACGTCAATGAAGTCAGACGTGTTAGAAATTTGTGGAGGGGATTATGTTTGCAGATTACTCAGAAGGATGCTTCCCCACCCCAGTGGTTTTTCCCTCCTTAATAAGTATAACTAATAGTGGGAATATGGATTTAACTTTTCTTGTAGTGTGAGCTGTGTTCAATAATAAATACACTGTCCTTAGTTTTTTTTTTTTATTTTGCCATGTGTGCCAGTACCTAAGAATAGTGTTGGGTTATATTTACAGTGAATTATAATCATTTTACTTAAATTTGGAAACTTTTTAAAGCTCTGGGTCATGACTCATGGGGATCACGAAGTCTATGTGGTAGGCTGTGACCAGGGTGTTTTGTTTTGGGGTTTAAAACAAAAAAGCAAGATTTAAGAAATAGGAGTATGTGTCACATAATTCAGGATACATAGTGTTTTGTGAAATTATTATTTCAGTTTCTTGTGTGTGTGTGTATCTCATGCACAAACATACATTCATGTGCACATGTATATGGGTGTTCTGGGTCTCAATATAAAATGTTTCTTTCTTTCTTTTTTTTTTTTTTTTCATTATAAAATATTTTTTACTGAGGGTCCTGGTCAAAATCACTAGGCTACATAGTATTCTTTCAGAAAATTGCTTTCATGGGGCACCTGGATGGCTCAATCAGTTAAGCGTCTGCCTTCGGCTCAGGTCATGATCCTGGAGTCCTGGGGATCGAGTCCCGAGTTGGGCTTCTCCCTCTCCTGTGTGCGCTCTCTCTCTCAAATATATATATATATATAAATAAATAAATAAATCTTATAAAGAAAATTGCTTTCAGTAATGACTATCCTAGTTAAGATTTTATCGTAAGCTTTAAGTGGTTATAGACACTTGTCTCTTTATGAGCATTAATTTTATTTTACACACAGTTGCCCCCTCTCCATCCTCAAGGAGATTCAAAAATAAACAATTTCCAAGAAATTAAAGGACAGGAAACAGCTCAAAGTCTACCTCTGTTTTAAAATACCAGAATCAATATTTCTTTCATTTTAACATCTGATTCAAGACCAGTTCAGTTGACTACTTTCTGATTCTTTTGCCATAGTGTTTTGATCACTAGGATTCATTTAATCTTTCAATAAAATTTGTAAGGAAAATAACAATAGTGGTAATTTACAAGATTTGAGAATTTACCAAGCTCCCAGCCTCTTGTGCTCTTTTTTTTTTTTTTTAAGATTTTATTTGACAGAGACACAACGAGAGAGGGAACACAAGCAGGGGGAGTGGGAGAGGGAGAAGCAGGCTCCCCGCAGAGCAGGGAGCCCCATGTGGGGCTCGATCCCAGGACCCCGGGATCATGACCTGAGCCAAAGGCAGACCTTAACGACTGAGCCACCCAGGCGCCCCAGCCTCTTGTGCTCTTTATCCATGATCTTATTTTATCTTTATCTTTTATCTCCACCTAGAAAGATAGGCCTGCAGAGGCTGTGCCTGGAGGACCAGGTCTCTATCCCAGATCTCTCCCACCCCAAACAGCCCTCTCTCCTCCATGCCTCACTTGACTGGGGGGACTGGGCCTCTCCTCCCCAAGAGCATTTCCTTTGCTCCTCATCCTGTCCTTTTATCTTCTTTCCTTTCTCTCCCTTCTCCATTTTGTTTCTCTTTTCTCCCATTCTTAGTGTCCTCTGTGACCACTTGGCACCAAAATGCTGGTTTACCTCCATTCAACTGAAAACTTACTCTGGGTCTCCTATCTTGCCATTCAAATGGAAACCCTCTATGTTCCAGCTGACTTATTTGAGACAATTCATTCAGGATGATCAAAATAGTCCCTTCCTTTGATAAAATTGTGTGTGTGTGTGTGTGTGTGTGTGTGTTGGGACCCGGTTGGGGGAGGGAGGGTATTCTGTTTCTGTTTGCCTTCCAGTATCACCTGCATCAGAATTTGCTAGTCCTTGGGTGTTGAGTTTGATGAGTTCGTTATAGATTTTGGATACTAGCCCTTTATCTGATATGTCATTTGCAAATATCTTCTCCCATTCTATCGGTAACATAATAAAAAAAAAAAATTTGCGTAGTCCTTACCATTACTCGTACATTCAGTGTTATTCACTAGACAGTGACTGCTTTTGTTACAGATACTCCCTGTGCCTGCCAGCATAAAAGATTTTCAACATTTTAATATTTTTTTCTCTGCAATTATTTTTTAGATTTTGGGATTTCCAGAAGAAAAGATCAAAGAGGAATCATCGAGAATAGACTCTTTTTCTGAAGTGTTAAGCCTAAGATGGCCACAGCATTGGCCCTTCAGACTTCAGAGATGCAGGAAGGACTTCTGGCAGTAAAGGTAGAAGAGGAAGAGGGGGATTATGCCTCTGGGCAGGAATCTGGCCTGCCAAGAGATAACCCTCATACCAGAGAGCTCTTTCGTAGACGCTTCAGGCAGTTCTGCTATCAGGAGACACCTGGGCCCCGAGAGGCTCTTCGAAGACTCCGGGAGCTCTGCCGACGCTGGCTGCGGCCCGAGACGCACAGCAAGGAGCAGATCGTGGAGCTGCTGGTGCTGGAGCAGTTCCTGACCATCCTGCCCGAGGAGCTGCAGGCCTGGGTGCGGGAGCACTGCCCAGCGAGTGGGGAGGACGCGGTGACTGCGCTGGAGGACCTGGAGAGGGAGCTGGATGAGCCGGGAGAGCAGGTGGAAGATGGGAGAACAGAGGTTTGTACCTGCAGGAGCAAGTGTGGGGTTTCAGTGCAGCAAGAGGAAGAGGAGGAGGATTTCTTTGCGCGTGATGTGGTCTGTTGTGGGCTCTCCATCTCTCTGCCTCTTTCTTGTTGCTGGTTTCTTGGTTCTTCTTTTCCTATATAGTGGACCTGGGAAGGCCCCCTTCCAAAGTGTCTCTGATGTTTGATTCCTAACTGTCCTTAATTTCCACCAGGTCCCAATCTATGCTTGTGAACAGGGAGAGTTTGCGAAGGAGAAGGCAACTCGGGGAGCAGCCCAGGAGTTATCAGGTGGCCGGCTCCAGCCCTTGGAAGAGCTGCGTCCGTGCAATTCGCGAGAGCTGTGCCCGGTTCAGGAGATGGGTGAGGATCAGAATTTCCTCAGGAGGCCTCCCTCACTCCCTGAGTGTCCATCGGTTCAGCACATGTGTTCAGTGTCTGCTGTGCGCCAGGCGGTGTGCTTGGTCCTGGGGAGACCGTGACGAGCCAGGTGGACGTGCTCCCTGCCCTCAGGAGGTCTGTGGTCTGACGGAAGAGGCAGACAGCCTCTGGAACTGAACGGTACAGTTCCGCCTGTCTTCTTCCTGAGGGCAAAGTGAAAGTAAACAGAAACCGTGCTTATTCGTCCCCCGCCACCCACTCTCCCGGCTAGTGTTTCCCTTTTTCCTTTGGAAACCTAACTTTCACGTGATCCACTTATTATTTCAGGTGACGAGGCTGGGACTTGGAATGTGGAGTTAGCTCCAAAGAGGGAGCTTTCCAAAGAAATGAGATGTCCTGTGGAAGTACCTCAAAAACTGAATGGTGGTGGTACTCGGATGCCTGAGTGTGGAGACACCTGGGACCATGAGGGCAGATTGGAAAGGCAGCAGCGGGCAAGCTCTTCTGTGGAGAGACCGTATGTCTGTGGTCAGTGTGGCAAGAGCTTCACCCAGAACTCCATCCTTACCGAGCACCAGCGGACCCACACAGGGGAGAAACCCTATGAGTGCGATGAGTGTGGCCGGGCCTTCGGCCAGCGGTCAGGCCTGTTCCAGCACCAGAGACTCCACACCGGGGAGAAGCGCTATCAGTGCAGCATCTGCAGCAAAGCCTTCAGTCAGAACGCCGGCCTCTTCCATCACCTCAGGATCCACACGGGGGAGAAGCCCTTCCGGTGCGGTCAGTGCAGTAAGAGCTTTAGTCGGCGCTCTGTCCTCATTAAGCATCAGAGAATTCACACCGGGGAGAGGCCTTACGAATGTGAGGAATGCGGCAAGAACTTCATTTACCACTGCAACCTCCTTCAGCATCGGAAGATCCACCCCGTGCTGGGTCCAGCCGGCCCCTCGGAACAGGTCAGGCAGCCTTTCCTGACGTCAGACCGCTAGCAGGGTCGCAGGGTAGGTTCCTGCTTTGTCCCTGAGGTAAGGTAACGGTAAAAAATAGTTTAATCCTCTTGAGGGGGAAGCTCCGAGAGAGCCAGTGAAATTGTCCATATTTTTTATGCTGAGAGAAGCATTATATCTCAAGTACATCTGTCAGGTTCTCTGGGGTCAACAGCATGCACGCTTTGCAATACTGAATCGTGTTGTGTGACTTTATCAACATAGTCTCCAGTCTGACACACGTCGGTGCAAGAGGTTTTCTAGGTGTACTTCAGGAAAACGTCTTCATCCCAGTTTTAAGAAACTTTTTTAAAAAGTTTTTAAAAATTATATGCTGCCTGAACACAAAATTATGTTAAATAGTATTTAAAAATTAATTTAAAAATAATTGCAGTAAAACCTGTAAATGATTTGACTATTGTCTGTTTTCATAAGATGTGATCATTTCTTTTTGACCTACAACAGGGGGCAGATGAATCCTCCCTTAAATACACAAAAGGCTTTTTCCCTACAGGAGAACTCTGTAGAGTTCCAGTAACTCAGTCTGCAGTTAGGATCCAAGAAATTGAAGCAACCATGTGTTACTAGTACCTCAGTGGCTAGATGTAGCAGATACTGCTCAAGATTTTAAATTTGTGCAGATCAAGAAACTTAGCTAAAAATCTGATATCTCACTTCTGATCTTTGTTACGAAAATATAGGCCTCTGTGTTTTTCCTGTGACTTACAAGCATTTTCAGTTTTTGCTTTAAGTCTTAGTTATGGAAAATTTCAAACACATACAAAAGTAGAAAAGTATGATCAGTCTTCCATGTTGATTGCTTTTTATAAGCTCCATGCTTCTCAGCATTACCTATTGATTACCACCAAGATTATGCATAAAAAAAAACTTCTTTCCCTTAACAGTAATTGAGTGTTTACTTTATACTAAGTCCAGGACACAAAGAATGGAAAATCTCTGGTGACGACAATCTGGATTGGAGTACCAGATACACAGCGGGTCACTTAACCCTAATAGAAACACTGTAAGGGACCTTAGAGATCACTTCTCTGTCCCCTTACATGATTGATACAGAAACGGAGGCTCTGGGAAGTAGCTGTAAGATTATGCGGACAGCTAGTTAATGGAGCTGGAGCTAGAACCCTGTCTTCTAACTCCTAGTGTTCTTTCTACTAAGTCACTGGAAGGATTTTATCTCCAGATAGAAATTACTAGCATATGGAACTTAAAAGATTTAGAGGGCACTGAGGTTTTGCTTTTTAGCTCAACAAAGCCTCCCATACATGTGTTTCAATAAATGCACAGCTCCTCTGTTCAATTTACAGTGGAGTTTCAGGAAAGACCACTTATCCCTCATTTGGGGCACTTTATTTTATTTTATTTTTAAGTAATCTCTACACCCAACGTGGGGCTCCAAACTCACAACCCCAAGATCAAGAGCTGCATGCTCCATTGACAGAGCCAGCCAGGCAACCCGATTACTTTTAACCTTTAAATTTTAATTTGCTTAGAGGGACTTTTCAAGAAAGATAACTCGGTCTTCATCCAATTCAAGAATCAGAACAACATTAAAAGGGAGCCTATCTTTTGCCTTATATGTAGCCATTTTTCTAGTATCTTACGTATCTTCAATATTTCTTTATGTAAATACCAGAAAACGTGACTCTATATCCCCTTATCTCCTCTATTACACAGACAGGTGGGATATGGTCGGCACTTTCCCACACCTCGCTGTGCTCGTGAAACAGAGCCGCCTCGTTCTGTTTACAAGTGGACGGTATTTCATTTGTTGGTGCCCCACGGTTTTTAACACACTCCCATAGATGCACAGTCACTACTTTAAAAGGTCACAGATTGTTTCGTTCTTCCCAAATGTGGTTCAAGCAAACTCTGTTTAAAATGACAACTTCCACATGAGCTAGGAAACAGAGCTTGGGCTGCAGTTGCACCTAATTCTTGTACAGAGAAATGCAGAAATGATGGGGGTGGTTTTCAGTCTCGTGTATTTGGCTCTATTGTATATCCTTAGTCATAACATATCAAACCACTTCTGCTGCCATTTGTGGCTAATTATAGGTCTTACCAAAAATCTTAAATTTTCTCAAGAGTGTATTTTAGTGTGTCTTGAGGTTAAATTATTTCCAAAAGAAATACATACGGATTTTAAAGTGAGGTTAAGGAAAATATAGTAGACTTAAGTTTGAAATAAAATCAACTTCTCCGGTAAATATATATTCCATATAATAATATAATACATATACTATTATAACCTGAGTTTGTAAGTATCTCAAAGCCTCTGCATATGCCGAAGCAGCATGTTTGGATAATTCTATTATATCAGCTCTTAAAAGATTTAAAATATGAACAGATCAGGATTTTAAAGGATGTATTTCTAATGGACTGTTTTTACACCTGCAGTTGAATATTGGATGTTTGGTTTGTTTTGTTCACAGCTTCTCAAAAATTCTGAATTTTCTTAACAACTGATGAAATACCAAGAAACAAAAGATGTTATATATGCTGTAGAGACATACACCGCTTAGAATGCAGTGATGGTTAACATGATTAAATGACTTAGAGTTCACCAAACTAACTACGTGTTCTCTGATACTAATTGCTCTAATTCGCTTACGCTAATTCTCTTATCTGGGTGCACACTTGTCATTCGTGGTACACTGATGTTTGCTGTAGCCTGTGGACAGTGGCCTCTAAGGGCCTCACACTGTTTCTGTCTCAGTTGTTTCCCTTTTACATTCCTGCATTACCCTCACTTGTCTCTTTTCTGTTTCTGCCCTGGCTGTTCTCATTCAACCCATGAAGTCTCTGGCATTGATCTCCTTTCAGGTGCTGGGTAAACCAGTAACCATCCCTCCCTGTGCCTTCAAAAGTCCAGTCTGAAAGAGTAGTTAGTTTTACGGCTGAACAATTATAAGAAATATTAATTCAAATCCAATTAAAATGCCTTATTGGTCCTTGAGGGATAGTCCAGCACCCCTCTGAGCACTGTTAGGAGATTGGACAGTGTATGTCAAGAAATGGCTGACAATTTTGCAACCAAAACCTGTCTGGAGCTGTAGATAAGAGCCCTGAAGACTGTCTTTCACTGTAATTTTTATTTGAAGTCAGGACTAAAGGAGAACCAAGTCTCTGTCCACATTTTGTATTTGGAAATGACTCCTATTTTCTATATCTGACAATACTTTTCCTTTAAAAAGCATAATTTATAGTGGAAGATTGTTTTATATTTTTCCTATGTGAGACAAAAGTTATCTCTGAGGATATTTTAAAATAAAAGTATATCTAAAGTCCAGGCACCTGGATGGCACAGTTGATTAAGCGTCTGCCTTCAGCTCAGGTCATGATCCCAGGGTCCTGGGATCGAGCCCCATTTGGGCTCCTTGCTCAGCTTCCTGCCCTTCCTCTTCCTCGGCCCTTACCCCCACTCGTGCTTGCTCACTTTCTCAAAAAAAAATCTTTAAAAAAGTATATCTAAAGTCAAAATTATAAAATATGAAGTACTTTCTCAGGAGCAATTTTGAAATATAAAATCTATACCAGTATACATGTGTATCATTGGTTAAATGTTGGGTTAGAAGTTGAGAGAAAAGTAGATTATTTGTAGAAGGAGATGGAGGATAGAGTAAAGTATTTTAGGCAGAGGCAACAGGGTGAGGAAGGCCCAACAAAGATAGGCTCAAGAGCCCTGCGTTTTCCAATTTGGCAGGTCATGGAGCTCTTATAAGGAAGCGCAGGAGTGGGGGCCAGATTGAGAGGTCCTTGAACACTTTCCTGTGCATTTGGTCTTTGTTTGGTAAGCATCATGGGATCATTGAAAGTATTTTGTTGTGCTGTAGGGGCTTTTTAACACAGAATCAGAGAATGTTAGCTTTAGGAAGAAATTTTGAATTTACCCATTTCATACCTACGTGAGAAAAGTGAAGCCCAAGTGGTTAAACACTTGTAGTGATCTATTTTTAATTGCATTAAAAATTTTAAGAACAAAACTATGGACAGAGATCATTGTGAATTATATGTAGTTTCACAGACACTTAGACTTGGAGCCTGGGACACATTTTAGGCGTCTCCAAGCAGCAACAGCAACAACAAAATAGGAGGGAAAGAGAAAAGAGAAGAACAAAATGTGAGAACATAAAAAGGACTCAGACAGGCAAAATTACACGTTAAAACTGGATTAGACCAACAAATGGTGACCAAAGAGAAGGAAAAATAAAAAGATGCAGAGACAGTGTTACCAAGAAATGTGCTTTATCTTTGTAATAGCTATTACTAGAGATCGCTCTGTCTCTCAATTGGTGCATGTATCTTAACAGTGAAAACAGTCCCACTGCTCTTCACTCCTCACCAATTTCAGTGCTTTACATAAAAAGGAGGAGAAGAGCACAGTGTATAAATCACTGATTTTTGTTTTCAGGCCTCTGTGGAGCCACACCCACGTCTCCATGCGAATGTCTCTGCTCTATGATGAAGCCACTATTTCTGAATATATACCTATGTTAGAATCACCTGCGCTGTTGGAACTCCAGTTTCCTGGGCACTACCCCAGACTGGCTGAATGCTTCTGAGGGCAGGACCTGGGAATCTGCATTTTAGCTAGCTTATCAGTGGTTCTCAGACATAGAGTAACTATATATAATTTATTGCCCCATCTGGGACACTTGAGAATGAAAGGGCTTGGTATTAATAATTACACTCAGACAAGGGGCGTAACAGGATGGGTGGTTTTCCCACTTTGGGCATTTCCAGCTGAGGAGATAGAAGATGAGATAGAATCAGAAAGAATACAATGTGCTCATGAAAGCTAAGGTGGAACATCTGTGAAGGAGGCCAGCCACCACCTTCCTGATTTGAAGTAATTCTTGCTAGCACATCTATTGGATTAGGTAAGAAAGGGTGGGTATGCCTACAAAAACCACACTCCCCTTGAAAGGATCCCCCCCAACAACCACAACAATAAAAACGCTGTTGAGATAGCTAGTTACCGAATGTGAAGCTGTTGAGATCCTGGTTTACCAGACGAGATGGAGGACCTCTCAGAAGCCTAAGGAGCGTCTCCGTGTATAGGAACTGTTGGACTAGTGCGGGATGCTCACTTGTAAACTGGAGGAAAAGTGGAAGTAGAGGGCAATGGAAGAGAACTGGCCGGAATAAGGCAGGAGGTGAGCCATCTTAAGTAGCTAGGACGAATGCGGACCAGATCCTGCGCGCGGTCCCTCCGTGAGTCACCGTAACTGACCCGCGTACTTGACCGGCTGCGGAACCCCAGCCCTGTTCCCGCCGCAGCTGACCCTGCCCCCGTGTCACCAGCGCGGCATGCCCTTGGCTTTCTGCCGATCCAGCCCAGTCGGGCATCTGCGAGTGGTTCCGTTACTCCAAAGGACGAGACTTGAGACGGTGGAGAGCCAGCCACGTGCCGCTTTGCTCAGGGCGGTGCTGATACTGCTTCTGACCCCGGGGGCCCAGTGGACGGTGGGATCTGCACCAGCGGGGTGTGCAGCGACCCTGCGGGCTGGGACCTGGGTAACGGAGGGCAGCGCGTACTTCCGGGAGAGCGGACAGGTGTCCTCGGTGGGGTAGGGCGCTGGGGGCCCCGGCAGAGTGGCGCCCCAGCCGGCGGACCGCCGGCCGGAGGCGTTCGCAGGCCGCCGAGCTCGCGACGGCCGGCTGGAGGTGGGAGCCGACCCACCACTGAGAGGACGGGTCCTGTCGGCTTCCTAGAGAGGCGGCGCGCCCGGGCGTCGTGACGTACTTCCGGGCTGCCGTCGCAGGGTTGGGCGGGGGCCTGGCGCTCGCTCCGCGGGCGGGCTCCGCGCGTGCGCTCGGCTGCTGTCCCGCACGTGGGTCCCCGGGATCCGGCGCCCCTGTGGCCCGCCGCCTGGACGCGGCCTGGAGGCCGGCGGGTGGTTTTCTGCTCCCTGCGCGGGTCTGTGGTGCTGGCCACGGTCTTGCACGTCGTGCCGTGAGAGGCTTATCACTTTAAAATGGGGTGAGGTGGTGCGCACAGACTGTTGCGGAGCGGAGCGAGTACCGTGTGAGTTGAAGCGGCGAAGACGACGAGTTAGCACGTCCATCAAGTACACGTTTATTGGCTGCGTGTGTGTGCCGGTCTCCGTGGTGCAAAACGGGAATGAGCCGGATGAAAGAGGCACCCTTGACCTTACAGTGTGGTGAGGCGGACGGATGGACGGTTACCGTAGAGCCGAAGCCCCTGGAGGAAGTCATCGTCGTCCGTTCGAGGGCCTTGGCAGGTGCGGGGCGGCGAGTCAGGGGTCCCGTCGCCGAGCCAGCGTAGCGGACTGAACCAGCGGGAAGCCGGTGGAGCGAGGCGGCGGGCCCTAGGGCGTGGGGGCGTGACAGCGCAGGGCCCGGCGCCGGGGGGAACGTGCGTGTGGTGGGCAGCTGGGGCGAAGAGGAAGAGTGCGCAGTTCCTGGACTGTTCCAGGGAACTCAGACGTGGAAGGGCGGTGTGCTTCTCCACTTTTAACGTAAGCTCATAAACTGAATGTATGCACGCTGCCTTGCAGAAGAGACCCGGCCAGGGGCTTCGGCTCCCCCAGCCCTGCTTGGCCGCCTCGGTCGCTGAGTTCATCAGCATGCCCGCACCCAGTGAACTGTGGCATCGCACGGTAGACGGGAAGGGCTGCTCTACAGAGGGGGGATATCTGTCATCCTACTAGCTTCTAGAAATATTCCAGAAGCAGTGTGGTAAATGAGTTGGAAGGGGGCGAGAGTGGGAGCAAGAGAGAAGAGACGTGCAGCTGTCAGAGAAAGAACCAATACTGTAAGTTGGTGAATAAAGTGGTGGCTGTGGAAATGAGGAGTGTGGGATGGAATTATGTGGAAAAGGTAGATTTAACTAGACTTGAGGACTAAAGATTAGAAAGTGCTGAGCACACTGCGTGGCATATACTAAGTACTACAAGCTTTTTTAAAAAATACAGTCAGGGCGGGGCCCCTGCGTGGCTCAGCTGGTTGAGACTTTGAGGGTCTGACTCTTGATTTTGGCTCAGGTCATAATCCCAGGGTCCCGGGATCGAGCCCCGCATCGGGCTCCCTCTGACCCTCCCAACCCTCCCCCCTCTCATGTGCTCTCTCTCAAATAAATGAATAAAATCTAAAAAAAGAAAAGAAAAAGACCTGACCTGAGATCAAGAGTTGGATGCTCAACTGACTGCCCCACAAATGTGCCATTTTAAAAGAAATGAGTTAAAAATAAGAAATGGGTAATTCTGGAGGAGGCATTGATTATGAGGGGAAAATGAGGAGTTAATTTTTGGTGGTGTTGAGATACACTATTGGGCTATAATGGTCTGGAGCTCCAAAGCAAGACTGGGGTAAGAGAATCAGATTTAGGAGTTCTTAGGTGACAGCATCTCAGGTCTCATGCTACTGAATGGACAAGGTTGCCCAGAATGAATGTGGAATGAGAAGAAGGCTGGGTCTCAACTTAGGGTAACCAGACATTTCGTGGCAAGCTGAAGAAGAGCCATAATGTAGACTTAAGAATGAGCTCTTTGACAAGCCCTTATATAGTACTTCCTGAGTGCCAGGCATTGGTCTAAGCACTTTACAGAAACCAACTCATGGAAAACAGCCAGAGGATTGTAGTTCTTATAAGACTGGGAGTGGCCAGCAGTGTTAGGTGCTGCAGGGGCATCTGGTAAGCAAAGGACTGAAAAATACTCACTGGGTTTGTGTACAAAGCAGGCCTTGGTTAATTGACTTGGGCCCCCTGACTCAAATGTGGGACACATTTGACTGACACGCACACTCTTCTTTTCTGAAACTAAAGATGCCTTTGAAAGTATCTAGCAGTTGATTTGTAAATATAACTGACTAAATCTGTGACATGCAATTTAAGCAGGCAAAGTTGTTTGCATTTTCTTCATTATCTGAATATTTCACATTATCTGAATATGTCACTGAAGTTTCTAGATCTAAAAGCCACTAGTATTGTTCTTTAATCCTAAAGTGACTGAATTGTCTTAATTTTTTGACATTAGTCTAATGACATCTTGTGCTTGTTTTATCTTTTACAGAGCATCTTTACCTTCAAATCATTGGCCTGATGACAGCGATTCACTCTGACTAAATATGTTTCTAGTTTGGAGTTGATCTCTGTTAACAGTGATGCGTTACATATTATCATGAGCCTTAAGCTCCCCCTACTGTTGTAGTGAGCCAGTCTTCTGAGCTGTTCTGCCCAGGAATGGATTCAGTCCAGCCCTTTCGGGCTGCAGAACAGAAGGATGTCAACTAGTTATAGAATCTAGCCTGCACAGAAATGGTGCTTCTGACAGGAGTTCTTCAGACAAAACTTAAGGCAGTTCTGCTGGGAGGACTCCCTTGGGCCTCAGAAGTCCAGCTCCAGGCGCTCTGCCGTCGGTGGCTGCGGCCGGAGACGCCAGCAAGGAGCAGATCGTGGAGCTGCTGGTGCCAGAGTGTTCCTGACCATCCTGCCCGAGGAGCTGCAGGCCCGGGTGCGGGAGCAGCCCAGAGTATAGGAAGGACGCGGTTCCTGGACTGGGAGGGCTTGTCGAGGAAGCTAGATAATCCCCGAGGAAAGGTGAGATAAGGAAGAAATGATCCATCATCAGAAGGCAGGTATTCTGTCCAGAGAGAGGTAAGAGAGTTGAGATCTCCTCTCACATGTAGTGAGGGAAATGGCCGAGATGCACTGGCCAGAGTTGCGTTCCCCTCCCTATCCTTTAATCCCTGTCCTCGCAGGTCAAGGGAAACTCTGCTTTCTGTCCAGCTTTTCTATGTTCGCCATTAATATTGGGATCGAAGCTCTAGAACTCTCCGCATATATCACCCTGGTCAAATTTATCTCATTGTCCCTGGATCCTCGTCCTCCTACAGGGACAGGAAGGGTCCCAGGGGCAGACAGCTTTATATGGCAGCAGCAGAGGACTCACTGGGGGTCCAGCTTCAGCCAGAACGGGTTAGCTCAATTCTGAACCTTGGGAGCTGCCTCCGTTCAGGAGAAAGGTGAGGAGATTCCACCAGGGGAAAAGATAGGAAATGTCTTCTTGTGTTTTTCCAAATGAACCTCATCACTAAAATTTTTGCCTACCTTTCCTTGATCTTTTGTTCCACCTTTAACCTGTTCCTCTAAGCACATCATTTTAACCTTGTGATTCTTCTTTCACTTCTTTGCACTAAAACTGTTGAAAATCCTGCTCCTATTGAATGGTTCAGAACTTCCGTGACCCTGACCTCTTACCCAAAGGCAGGAAAACATTCTTCTACATTGAAGCCAATGGAAGATGATTCAAAAGCCACGTGCAATAGAGAAAATTTTAAACGTGCATTTTTAAAAAATTAGTATAGGAAACAAAATTTACAATTTTTATGTATGCCCAAATATAATCATACTGAACATATCAACTGCCACTACTCTTAAATTTCATATTACGTTCTGGACTCATTTCCAAGAGTTACATGTAATGCATACATATAGCTGATACAGGTTTCATTGTATGGCTATCAAATTACTTTTTTTTTACCTTTATTCAAAATCAGCTGTCCAAAATGATTCAACCTTTATGGAACAAACAAATTTCAAGCTTACGCAGCAGACTTCTTGTCTTCTGTGGTGGGTTTCTTTCCTACAGGCTTCTTCTCAGCTGCTGGCTTCTGGGTATCTGTGGCCTTTTTTCCCACCAAAGGTTTCTTCTGCTTCTGAACACGAGTAGCCTTATTTCCTTTCTTCCATACCATGGGCTTCTTGCCTGGAACCACCTTCTCATCTGATTTGGCTTCTAAGGCTGCTGCCGCCTTATCCATCCGGAGCTTGTGATTCTTGGCCTGGTGAAGAATGGTCTTCTAGCACATGATCTTTGCATACAGGTTTAGCTTCAATGTGATTATCAGGTTTTTCAGTGGATTCCCGACTTTAAGTTTCTTTCTTTTTTTTTTTTTTAAGATTTGTTTGAGAGACAGACGGAGAGTGGGGGTGGGGGGTGGATGGGCAGAGGGAGAGAATCTTCAAGCAGACTCCCCGCCGAGTGCAGAGCCCGACACAGGGCTTCATCCTAGGACCCTGAGATCATGCCCTGAGCCCAGATCAAGAGTCGGCTGCTTAACCGACTGAGCCACCCAGGCGCCCCAGGCTTTAAATTTCTTAAGACCTCAACTAACTTTATCTTCAATCAACAAAGGAAGTTCAGGAAGTCCCTCAGTGCGATGATCTGTAGACATGGCCAGCATTGGAAAGGCTCATGCAGCCAGGGCAGAGCAGAGGGAATATCGCTTCTGTGTTGTTTTGGTTGGTGCAAATGTGCAGTCCCCATGACATATTTGCAAAAGCACCCTGGCCACAACGGCAAGTCCCATCATCTTGTACCCTGGGAATTCGAGCCACGGCTTGGCCAGTACCCCAAAACTCAGCACTGGTTTGATGACCTGCTAATTCACTGACAGCATAGAGTCATCTCTTGTTTTTGCACAAGTTGGTGTGAACAGAGTTCACAATATCAGGTCGAATGGGAGCCTTGAACACAGTAAGCAAAGTCACATTTTTGCCAGATGACTCCCCCTTTTCAGAGTACATGGATATCAGTGGACGAGCACACACCATGGGGGTGGAGAGGAGAGGGCCATGCTTCTCTCAACCTGGCGGTTCCTACAGAAAAAGCTATCTTTTAACTAGGAGGGTTTGTAAGTTGCTTCTTTTTTCTTTTTTCTTTTTTTTACATACTACCAACTGAAAGCCACAAACTTATCTTTTTTTACTTTTTATTCTGAAAAAGTACAAATCTATATAAAAGAACTGTATAATGAATCTCCATGAACCTGCCACCCAGTTTCAACATTATCAAATCATGACTATCTTGTCTCATTTATAACTACTCATTTCCATGTTATTTTTTTCCATATAATTTTGAAGTATATCTCAGATATAATCTTTCAAATGTAAATATTTCAATATGTAGCTCAAAAGATGAATTCTTAGAGGCATGACTAGAAGACAGGAATTTCTTTAATGTAACCATAATAGTATTATCACACCTAAAAAAATTGTACCAAATTTCCAGTTGTCTCAAAGATGTTATGAATTTTTAAATTTCTTTTGTTTTAGCTTGTTTGAATTGGGATCCCAAGAAGAAAACACATTTTGATCCATTCATATCTCTTAAGTTTCTCTTAATATATAGATCCCTCTTCCTTTTTATCTCCCCACTTGCAATTAACTAAAAACATCAGGCTGGGGGGCGCCGGGGTGGCTCAGATGGTTGAGCATCTGCCTTTGGCTCAGGTCGTGATCTCCAGGTCCTGGGATAGAGCCCCGTTGGGCTCCAAGCTTGGCAAGGAGTCTGCTCTCCCTCTCCCTCTGCTGCTCCCCCTGCTTGTGCTCTTTCTGTCTCTCTCTCTCAAGTGAATAAATTAAAAATCTTCAAAACAAAACAAGGGGTGCCTGGATGGCTCAGTCATTAAGCGTCTGCCTTTGGCTCAGGTCATGATCCCGGGGTCCTGGGATCGAGCCCCGCATCGGGCTCCCTGCTCAGCGGGAAGCCTGCTTCTCCCTCTCCCTCTCCCCCTGTTTGTTGTGTTCCCTCTCTTGCTGTATCTCTCTCTGCCAAATAAATAAATAAAATCTTTAAAAAACAAAACATCAGGTTGGGGGCACCCAGCTGGCTCAGTCAGAGGAGCCTGCGACTCGATCTCAGGGTCATGAGTTCGAGCCACACCTTTTGGGTAGAGATTACTTTAAATAATTAAAAAAAAAAAACTAAACACACCAGGCTGTTTCTCAGAGTCCCATAGTGAGGACTTTGCCATCTGCATCTGGTTCTGTAGTATAATTTCTTCTGTTGTCCTCTCCATTTTCTATAATTTGCAGTAAACTGGGGGCTTGATCAAAATCAAGTTTAAGGTTTGGGAACAAGGTAAGTTTAACTTGGCAAGGTGGTGTGTTCTATCAGGAATTTACAACATCTGGTTGTCTCTTTTTTTGTGATGTTAGCAGCTCTCGATCCTCAGTACCTACATCCATGAATCTATTAGCGGTTCCAGAATGTCGGTATTCTTATTCTGTCATCCTTCATTTAACAAAGCTAGAATATTTATATAAAGAGATACTTCCCATCTTCCTACTTGGTTACCCAGTGGTTCTTATAGAAGAAGCAAGGTAATTGATTAACTCCCTCCCCACTACCTTTTTTTTTTTTTAAAGATTTTATTTATTTGACAAAGCACACAAGCGGGGTGGAGGGGCTGAGGGAAAGGGAGGAGCAGACTCCCCACTGAGCAGAGAGCCCAATGTGGGACTCGATCCCAGGACCCTGGGATCATGACCTGAGCTGAAGGCAGAGGCTTAACTGACTGAGCCACCCAGGTTGCCCTCCCACTACCTATTTTTAAAAATCAGTTTCAAAATGATGAATTCATTTTGCTGTCATTCTCTAAAACGGTGGCCAGTTGTTATTATTAATAATGGTATCATTTAGAACTCGTGGATTTAAACCTATATTTTTCAATCCATTGTACTTAACTACCCTTATTGAAGCTCATTTGTCTCATCTTTGGGCAGTAGGAGCCTGTTGAGTTTGACTCCTCTATTTATGACATGAGTCTAGGCATTTTAATAGCTTTCTTGCTGTCTGGTATAACAAGAGGTACAGACTCATCTTCTAATTCCTTCCCACTCCTGGGATCAGTCATTTTTCCAAGGCCCCTTGATTCTGTTTAGTGGGAAACGGTATTTGAAGACCAAAAATAAGGTACTAGGAGTGTTCACGGCTTTATTGGACATTGCTCCTAGGCCTTGTCAGTGCTCAAAGCTAGGAAAAATTTAAGATAAGCTATGTATTGTGAATTCATATTGATAGTTCCAATTCAAATTCAGTATTTCAGGGTCTTAATCTGTCTTTCATCTGTATCTCCTTTTGGAGAATTCTCAGAGACACCAGGAATAATAGAGTACCAAATACTCATTTGCTTTATCCCACAATATATACACAATAGCCTCAATAAAAATATTAGCACCACCATCAACAAGTATGATTATTATAAACAGCTTCATGGTTGTGCCTGTGTTTTCCCATTCTTTTTGTCCTTAAGTTATAGATCTTTGGGATTAGAAATAATTCCTCTTGTGTGTGCTTATGCTACCAACAGGTACACATTTATAGTTCTTTTTTTTTCTTTTAAGGTTTATTTATTTATTTGACAGAGAGAGACACAGTGAGAGAGGGAACACAAGCAGGGGGAGTGGGAGAGGGAGAAGCAGGCTTCCCGCAGGGCAGGGAGCCCGATGCAGGGCTCAATCCCAGGACCCTGGGACCACGACCCAAGCCGAAGGCAGACGCCTAACAACTGAGCCACCCAGGTGCCCCAACAGGTACACATTTAAATTCAGTTTGTTTCATTACTTGTTCAAGTTTAGGGAGTGATTTTTTATTTTATTTTATATTTAAAATGTTTATTTTTTTAAATTATATAAAGTTTTACATATGAAATCTGTAAAATATTTTCAAGGAAGTTCTCTTCCTGTTCCATCCTTCTGTTCCCTCTCTTCCCCATAGATAATCCTATCTTGCTCTTTACTTTTGTGATTTATCCTTTTATTATTTATTTATCATAAGCACATGTATACATACATACCCCTTGCTTTTAAAAATAACACAGTATAATTTAAGTCATAAACTCAGTACACACCTATGTTACATAAGACATTTTGTTTTCTTTCCTTTAGCATGTACTTTTTTTTTTTTAAGATTTTATTTATTTATTTGAGAGAGAGCAAGATTGAGAGAGCACAAGCAGGGGGAGGGGAAGAGGGAGCGGCAGAGGGAGAGGCAGAAGCAGGCTCCCCGACGACATGGGGCTTGATCCCGGGACCCTGAGATCTTGACCTGAGCTGAAGGCAGACGCTGAACCAATTGAGCTACCCAGGTGCCCCTACCATGTACTTTTAATGAGTGCTTGTTCAATGAGCAAGTAATTGAGTAAGGTGTGTGTGAGTGGGTGAGTCATGCTGAAATGTTCAGTCCCCTCTTTCAGATGATTTGGTTGAAATGGAGAAGATGCTTCCAAAGTAGAAGTCTGAAGAAATAACATGCCAACAGGGACCCATTGTCAGATTAGATGGAGGTATTAATACCTCAGTGCTTTCATTACATAAGTCCAGAAATATCAGGGAAGACTAGAAAGATACCCATGATGGCGTAAGTGTGATGAATGTGGAATGAGTTTCACTCAGAGCTCCATCCTTATTCAGCATCCGAGCTACACACTGAGGAGAAACTCTATGAATGTGATGAGTGTGGAAGAGCTTTTGTCAAGAGTGCAGGCTGCAGTGAAGATAAGACAGTTCACACTGAATTTGACTCACAGATGTGGAGGATATGGGACAATATGCAAACACTGGATTAGTTCATCACAGAGAAGCCATCTTGGAGAGAGACCCTGTAATAGAAGTGACAAGTATGGTAAAGCCTTGGAGAGCAGTCAGCTCTTAACCAGCACCAAAGACTTCACACCAGCGAGAAGTGTTACCATCTGAACAAGTGTGGAAGAGCTAATAGTCGGAACACAGAGCTTTTCCACTGTGTCAGAATCTGTGTTGGAGAAAAACTCTTTTAGTGTAATTGTAGTAAAAATTTTCCTGGACATTTCATTCTTTACTCAGTATCAGAAAAGTCACTCAAGAGAGAATGTGGGAAGTTGATAAATATGGATGGAAAGGCTGTGAACAGTAGCATCTCATCTAACACTAAAAACTTTTAAGTGTCCAGCATCTGAGACTGGCAAGGCAGAATCTCTCTTCATACCAGACGTGTAGGTGGTCTTTGATGGGAACTGGCCCTTCAGAATGTCCCTCAAAACCTGGTCAGATTCAACAGAGCAAGCCAGTTACTTTTTCCTTAACAGCCTCATCAAACAAGCTACATTATTTTAGTGATTCAAAGGGCTGCCTATGGTCTACCACTTCAGATTTCCAGATGTTTTATTAGTTGTTCCTAAATACAGTTCTTACAAAAGCTTGGACTGTTGTTTAATTTTTTTTTTAGTGAAAACTTAAGTTGTGTATAAAATACAAACAGGAATATTACTAGATGGTTAATGTATTTTAAATGTTGCTGCAGTGATTTGTCAAGTCAAAAAAAACTTGTTCAGCATCTTTTTAGTGACAACATGGTGGATCCTTGGGCCTTCCGTTCCTATCTAAGTTATGTGTGACACATAGGCCCCAGCCAAGACCCCAAACAAGAAAGATGCATCTTTTTTTTTTTAAAATAGAGGTGTATTAATTTGCATTAGGAAAACAGATCCAAGTTAGTCTTAAGGGGAGAATAAGCAAACTCAAATGCCCAGGGGATAGGCAGGTAATATAAATAAATAAAGCCATCCTAGAGTCAAAAACAAGTTAAAACTAAAACCATTATTTTATTTACATTGCATTAAGTTCAGGGAAATTGACAAGATTCTCTTTATTGATTTTGAGTTCTGCAGGAGAAAGGTGATCAGGTTAATTGTTCATTGCAACCACCGTAAACATAATGATCTTTTCATACTTTTAAGTATAGTACAGTTGACCTGAACAACATGGGGGTTGGGGCACTGACCCCCTTCACAGTAAAAAATCTGAGTATAACTTAACACTGATAGCCTACTGTTGACCAGAGACTTACTGATAATATAAACAGTTGATTAACACATATTCTGTATGTTATATGCATCATATACTGTATATAAAGAAAAAAATTTTTATGATTTTTTTTTTAGGTAATATCTACCCCTAATGTTGGGCTGGAACTGAACGACCCCAAGATCAAGAGTCATATGCTCCACTGAATGAGCCAGCCAGGGGCCCCAAGAAAATGTAAAGAAAATCATAAGAAAATACATTTATAGGTGGCCCCTGGATGGCTCATTCGGTTAACCATCAAACTCTTGATTTCAGCCCAGGTCATGATCTCAGGGTCATGGGATTGAGCCCTGGGAAGGGCTGCGCTCAGTGTGGAGTCCGCTTGTCCCTCTCTCTCTGCTCCTCCCCCACTCGCTCGCTCCCTCCCTCTCTCTCAAGTAAATAAAATCTTTAAAAAAAAAAAAAAAGGGAGGGGCACCTGGGTGGCTCAGTCAGTTAAGCATCTGCCTTCAGCTCAGGTCATGATCCCAGGGTCCTGGGATCGAG